TAATTCTAATTTGTTTCTTTTTGGTCTCACCTTTCATATGCATGTGTTTACATTAGACACAATTTTATAGTTAACATTAGATGACTGTTTCTATGTTACTATGAGTCATTATAACTGACTCTTTAATGACCACAAAATACTTTGTTAGTAATCTTTCCCTTGCTATCAGATATTCAGGTTGTCTGGATTTTCTTTTTCTTAATCATACATTTTACTGCAAGGGACATCTTTGGGCATATCTGTTTTTTCTATGCTCTGGATTATTTCCTTAGGCATGACTCATAAAAGCAGAATTTGTGGGTGAAATGATATGACATTTTAATTATTGCCAGATTGCTCTCTCAAAAGGTTCTACCAAGTTACAGAGCCACCAGCAGTGGGCAAGAGAACCTCATCCGTAGCTACCACACAGGTCTAAATGAGGGCCTTGCCCGTTACCTACTGGAGGTGACATTGAGTACCGTCAGAGCCTGTGTCTTCTTCCAGTAGAGTCTCATCTGATCTGATGTGGAGCTTTGTCCTCACACTTGTAGACACAATGGGATAAGGATAAATCCATTGTAGTGGTGGTGAAGAGCATGGCTTTTACCACTGTTAAGCAATGGTTAAGAGCAGGCCATGGTGCCTACCTCTGAGGCTTATCAGAGCTCAGAATAAAACTCATAAATGACAAATGCTGACCACTGGAGTTAGCCCCACTCCTTCAGGGGGATTTGTGGAGTGGGTGGTGTCAGGTAAGGGGAGAGCCCACAGATGTTCCCACCAGCACTCCCCAATCCTAGGGAAAGGGGCTTAAGTGGAAGAAATGTGAAGTCTGGTCACTATTCCCCTTCTGTCTTGACCTTTTATCCTAATGTGTGATTCGTGTGTGCCCTGGTTGGTGATTTCTTTGCAGTTTTCTATATATTCTTGCAGCCCCCTTGAGTTCTTTCCAGAGTGAAGCTATACAAGGAAGAAAGGCTAAGTGGGTAGGGTTGTCAGATTTAGCAAATAAAACACAGGGTGTCCCATACTTATGCTAAAATTTTTTGTCATTTACCCAAAATTCAAATTAAACTGGGCATCCTGTAGTTAATCTAGCAACTCCGAGAATGGGTGTGCCATCTGAAATGATCTATGGTGAGTGACTCAACTTGGCAGGTCACAAGGGCAAGAAAAATAGTTCAAGATGCTATAGTTCATAGGTCCTAGTTTGCTTATCTGGAGGTGTATAATGTAAGGTGCCTCTGAGGGTCCTGGGGAGTTTGTTGCCTGAAGCTTCCCAGGAGCCAGAGGTCCCTGGTTGGGAGACCAACTCGTTGCGACCACAGCGTGATCAGGCCATGGAGTGAGGACCTGGGCGTGATTAACATCTGAACTAGAGGGGTCTTCGGGACTCCTCACATTGCTGAGGAGAGGCAGGCTAACACCGGGACAGCATGTCCCCTGCTATAAGTCCTCATCATGATCTTTCCTGGACTTCTCAGTGCATGTGGAATTTCTTACATGTCAGTAAAAGGTGGGAGAGGGAAGAGGGGAGACAGAGAGGATAAAAAGGAAAGAGGGACCGGATTCATTTGCTTTTGTCTGGCCCCAGGGCAGTAAAAATATCAAGACACAAACTTGCAGAGAGCTTGCTGTGGAGATATGGGGAAGGTACAAAGGACCACCTCCTCTATCCAAGGAGTCAGAGGTCACCGAATTAAAGCAGAGGGAGTTCCAGAATCAAGGGTCCAGAGCTGCATAGCACTGCTAGCTAGGCTGGTGACTCTTCCTCGCCCCCAGGTCCACTTAGCAGCTGGTTCTTCCTGTTTCAAGATGTCAACATTCCTTTGCAGCAAGCATCCTTCCATCCTGATGTCAGTGAGGAGGTACGTGCCAGAGCCTTGCGGTACGGGACAGAGTGCACCCTCAGCTACCTGGACCTTCTCGAGCACGTCTTGGTGGTGAGTAAGGCATGGGCTGGGGCTGGGGAAGAGCACGTCTGGGTGCAGACCATCCTTTCCTCGGGACAAACCCTCTTACAGCACTGTTCGGGCTCCATGTATGGGGTTGGGACTGGATTGAGCTGAGAAGTCTCCCATATCTCTCTGCCCCAGGACTAAGATATAGTGTAGTCTAGGGGAAGCTGCAGTTAGAATCCAGGAGAGCTCAGCTCTCCCACTGCCCCGAAAAGGCAAGACTAGCATGGAAGAGGGGTGGGCAGAATGAGGGATGAAGCATGTGGGACAGGCAGATTGTCTCAGCTTCTTGGGGATGAGGGGTGGATGGAGAGGGCCCACATGATGGATTACCTCATTGGTACTAACCAAAAAATTCCAGGCAGACCAATTAAGATTACATTCCTGGAACGGGCCAAAACTGCAGTTATGTAAGATATCGTCTAGGTTCAGTGTCATGGGCTTTAGCTCAAGTGATTCCATTTTGGGTCTGTGGTTTTCTCCTCAACAGTTACCCCCTGCCCTGCTTTTGATCAGACTCTCAGCTTGACTGAGAGATATGATCAAAATTTAAGGCATTAGTGCCACGCTCACTACTAGTCTATAGTTCTCATGGCGTTTACTGATCCTCTGTGTGATATTCACAGGTCATGATGTTTTTCCTTAATCCCTGTTGGTACTCATAGGCCACAGCTTTAGGTTCATAATCTTTAAGTCAGTCATTCTCTTAACTCCTTTTCTGATGTTCCAGTCTTAGGTAGATCATTTGTTTGGTGGTTAGAAGCCTTGAACACGCATCTAAAGCTTTTGAGAGAATACAGTGCACCAGGAAGATGATTATGATAACTATTAACAGGATAATTTCTGATGTTTGGAGTGCTCTTTGGAGCCATGGTCCCCAGGAACCAAACCCACCAAAATCAAGTCACAGACTGTTGAGGGATTCATCTTTTTAAGCCAAGTGGTTTGTTCAGTGATCTTATGTAACTGAGTTTCAGTTTCCTGCAGGGTTAATCCAGGTGCAGCTGGTGGTGTTGACCATAGCACAGACACCTCCTTGCTCACCTAAAAGATAATCAAGGGTTAGGCTAATGTCAAGAACCACCTTGGGCAGACAATCTAAGGATTTTTGTTGGGCAGCTATTGCTTTAACAGTGGATTCTGCAGTATTTTCTAGAGCTTAGGAGAGATTCCTGATCAGAGCCTTATTTATATTTATTCCTAACTGAGGAAGTCGGGACCTGCCAAAGGAGGTAAATCCTGAGTCACAAAAAATCTTCTGGTAGGTCCTTTTGACAATGTAAGTTTAGGGGAATTGACCAATGAAGTGCCTCAGTTGATGGACAGTTAGGGACGCTGGCAGATAACCTAAGAGGTATTACCTCGTTATGCACCAGCAATCTAGGAGAATGATAACCACCACAGACAAAAATCCTGTGGGACGTAAACCACTTTCATTAAGGTGGCGTTGTCAATGGAAAGATCAGAGTTTCTGATGACAAATACCAAGTCTGAATGGTTACCACCTTTAGCAATGGCCTGGAAGATATAGATGATGGCAAAACTGAAAATGGGGTTTGCCAAGGAAAGAGAAAAGAAGAAAGGATTTCATGTTTAGTTAAAGTATGAAGTCTTGATCTGGTGTATTAGGTAGAAGAAGTATGTGTTTATATCAGCTACTTCTCTTCCTCGTCGGTTTAATTCATAGGTCTCTAGCATCTGTACAGGACCAGATAGATGTCAGGTGGAAGCTTCTTTGACTGTGAGATGTGTATCCAAGGCTCAATACCTTCTAGTTTTGCAGCAGTGTCAGTAGTGAGGAGTACTTTGTAAAGTCTCTTTCATCGGGGCTTAGGGGCTGCCTTCCTTTGATGATAACACTTCCAGAATATCCAGTCACAAGGCTCCAAACAGGATCTTTTGAATTGGGATCCAGGGAAGTGTCTTTAAACTGTTGGTGATAGGCTTGAGCATCAGATATTAAAGACCTACAATAGATGGTCATACTAAAATGAGACAACAAGGGATCAGCAGATTGTATACCAATTGGACATTGGTCTACCCATGACAGTCTCGTGTGGAGTTACCTTATGTTTCCCAGAGGGGTTCAGCAAATTTAGAGTGTTTAAGTTTGAGGATTCCATTAATCCTCTTGACCTTGCCTGATGATGCAGTGATAGGGACAGTGATAATTCCAAGAAGTTTGTAAGATTTTCATCAAGGTTCACATAATTTTCCCAATCAAGTGGGTGCCTGGATCACCGGAGGTTATGGAAGGTATACCCCAAGTGGGAAACACATTTCCTAATAGTCCTTTGCCACTGTGAGGGCATCAGCCTTGTAGCAGGGAGAGGCTTCAACCCATCCAGGAAACATACAGAAAATATCAAGAATATATTGATAACTCGTACTAAGTTGAAAGAAGTCCAGTTGAAGTTGTTCAAATGGTCTAGAGGGAAGTCTGAGGCTTCTGGGGACAAAAATAGTTTTTCCAAGATTATGAACCTGGCAGGTCAGACATTGCTGGTAGGCTGTTTTTGCAATTTTATGTAAGTCTTCCTACCAGCGTTTATTCAGAATTTGAGTCATCTTAAATGCCCCATAGTGGGTGAAGAAATGCAAAAACCAAAAAATGGGGTTTGCCAGGGAGCATGAAAGAACCAAGCGGCCATCTTGGGTTTCGCATAGATTTGACCATTTGTTTAATTTATAACCAGTGTTTACCCATCTTAATTTCTCTGATTCAGGAGCGGACTGTTGCCATGTTAAAGATAGCAGGATGGCAAAAGTTAAGCAATAAGGGATCATTTTTTGCAGAAATAGAATAGATTTCATCCACATGAGCCACAATCTTTACAGATTCTGTCGCTGCTGCCTTTGCATGAAAGTCAGCCAGGCATTTCCCTAATACTCGTGATTCAGTCCCTTGAGCTGAGCTTCTTCTGATGATAGCAATTTGAGAAGGTAAAAGAAGAGCAGTAAGAAAGTTGTTTACTTGTTCATTTTTTACTGGGATCCCAGAGGACATAAGAACACCCCTTTATTTCCATAACATCCCCAAATCATGACGACCCCAAAGGTATACCAGCTATCAGTATAAATATTTGCAGCTTGAGCTTCCGATAACTGGCATTCTTGGGAAAGGGCACGGCGCTCTGTTGGGCTAA